ATGGTTTAACTGGGGAGAGCCATTACTAAGCCACGTTTCCTGTGCTTCGGTTTGGCAGTGCGCGTAGCAAGAGTTGATGAAGTATCCTGCCGACTCGGACCATTGCACATTGTCCATTAACGAGTCTATGAACTGTTTTCTGTAGCCTGAAAATAAATAAATAAATAACATAATCATATTTTTGCATCAAGAAAACTACACAATGTGGTGCAGAAAACACTCGTTCGACTACAAATGTTCGACAAAACGAAACCGAACTAACTTTGCATGATTTCGATTTGATCTGGCGAACATTTCTTCATCGCAGTCTTGCAATTGTGCCACGTGTCAACTGGATCAGCAGCTTTAGGAGCCAGGATGTTCTTAATCTGGCGAAATTAGGACAGTAAATTAATTAGGACGAATAAGTTAATAAGGTTAATTAAAAGTTAATTCTAATTTTGATTTGTCAAAGGTATGTGTGTCTGTTCTGACCTGCCATGAATCATAAGCAGCATTTACAATGAAAATTGGTGTCCGAATGTCTTCCACCACATATTGTGGGAAAAAACACTGCAAAAATTTGCATAACATGAAAAACAAAATTAAATGAATATATAGTTTGCCAAGGATATATAAAGATAATCTAGTCGAGAAAACTGCTCCGAACCGCTGTCGACCATAAAACATTTGGGCACGGTTCCGGTAAATTCTGTATCGACCCCTGTCGTGTTCATTCAAGCAAAAGAACTTACAATCACATATATAGGAAATTAATTATTAAACTAAACAAGAAAAGAAAAAAGATTAATTTAATCCGTTTCATCTTACATGCGTCGTGACAACATCGTTGAAGTAATCTGCGATGCGCAAAGCACCCGAGATATCTTGCCTGTTACAGATATTTCGCATGAGCTGAAAAAAAAAATGAAAGGGAACTTAATGAAAAGTGACTAAGTTGTGCACGAGAAGTTACGCGTCAAGAAAGAAACCGGCATCGGCAATGCATTTGACTTTCGTGTTGCGAGAAAAAAGATCCGAGAAGTTATCACAATGAAGAATCGATGTTAGCCCGCCAGACGAGCATCCAGATAGAATTGCCTATATATATATATAAGAAAGCAAATAGTGAAGGTAGTTTGGTTACAAACCTTATGGTAAAAAATAGAAAAATTCAAATGTATGTTTTTATCGTACATTTTGAGCTTTCGACATTCCTTGCGCAAATAGGTCATCCATTATTGCAGCAAAGACCCTCGCCCCACGGTAGTAAAGTCCCATTTCCTGGTCGAACCAAATGGCCATTGATCAAAAGTTTCATGAGCGATTGGATATATATGTAGAATTTATTAATCGAACGGAACATGATAATAGACTTAGTAAATCAATTGTATAGTATAAGACAAATAAGACTTACAGGGTCAACTTCTTCTATGTCGCCCGTGAACGACGAGCCATCACAATATCGAACCTTGACTCGATTCCAGTTGAAAAAAACTGAAATTCGAAATCGAATTGATATAGTTGCATTAGTTATATATATATATATATATGTATATATAAATCAATTGTATATACATATGTACCAGGGTTTGACTTCTTGTTGTTGCTTAAGATCCCAGAAAAAACGACCTGTTTCTCCATTAGTTTGGAGGAGCCGAGTCGGGTTTCTTTCCGAGCGAGACAAGTCGTTACGTTATTACACCATGTTCCTCCCTTATTTTCAGTTACATCACAAAAAAAAAAAAAAACACTAGATCACATGAATTCTTTTGAACTTCATTTTCATTAAAGGGTGATGATATTACACACATTTATAAATTTTTGTATATAACAGAAAATGTTGTGTGACGAGTTAATATGTCCACGAGCTGAGTACTATGCGAGTGAAAGATGGGGAAATCTTGACACTTGTTACTTTTCCGACTACTAAATAATTAATAGATCAGAACTTTGTATCTACGACTCGACATTAGTACAATTAGTCTATAACGAATTAACGGATCGCAAATTCAAAATCATGGGAATGATGAACCAATTACCTCAAAATGAACTATCCAATTGTTAATTCCTACTCCAGATCCTTTATCAAGATGGTATGCAGGTGGGCTTCCATCCAAACAAACTGTAAAATTACTCAAAAATGAAAAAAAAAAAATCATAATAATAATTCACTGGTAAAAAGTAAGTAAATAAATATTTACACAAGCTAGCTTCATTAATTTATTATTATTATTATTATTATTTATTTTTTATTTATTTATTTATTTATTTTTTTGGGTGTACCTCCTCCTTTAACCACAGCACTTTCAACATATGTAATGTTAACAAAGTGGCTTTCAGTTTTTTCCAAATATATCATCAAAGTACAAACCAAAATGCACACCCATTTTTGTAGTTCTCCAGTCATTTTCCTCTGAAATTTAATTTCAACAGAAAAGAAAATTGTCAATAAAATTAAAATAGTCAATATATGTTTGAAAATAAAAACAAAAATAATGACAGTTTAAGAAGGAAAGAAAGAAAATTAGAAGAATAAAAAGGGATTATTTACTGTAAAATAGCTTCCTTAGTGTTGTCTTAAGTGTTAGTATTGGGGAGAGAGAATAAAATTAATTGGCGTGCTTTGTGGTTTTCAACTTACACACATATATAGACGGGAATACGGTCTCGTTACGGAACCATTTCGTCGGGATTTGTAATTGTTGGATCATCATGTAAACCGTTGAAAATAGTTGATCTAACGGTTACAGACCCCGACGGAATGGTTTTCATTAAGGGATAGTTGATTTAACGGTTACAAACCTCGATGGAGTAGTTTCGTAACGAAATTGTAGCATTTTCCTGTATTATATATATAATTATATATATAGACTCTTGAGATTATACTGCATAATTTATTATTTAAATCAAAAAAAAAAATAACTGGACAAAAATAAAAAAAAAAGGATGTCGACCAAAATAAAACAGCCGGATACTGAGAATACGTTTTCAATTTGAAAACGTATTCCGAGGATACGTTTCCAGAAGAAAACGTATTCTCATGTTACGTTTTATATCGAAAATTTTTTTTAAACACGATTAACTT